GGGGGCGAGGGAGGCGGGGTGGGACACTGGGCTGGGGGTACAGGGCACAGGGCTGGGGACACGGGACGCGGGGCTGGGGACGTGGGATGCAGGGCTGGGGACATGGGACAGAGGGCTGGAGACACAAAATGCAGGCTGGGGACACAGGACGCAGTGCCAGGGACATGGGACACAGGACATAGGGCTGGGGACATGGGACTCAGGGCTGGGGACATGGGATACAAGGCTGGGGACACAGGACTCAGGGCTGGGGACATGAGACGCAAGGCTGGGGACATTGCACACAGGGCTGTGAACACAGGACTCACGGCTGGGGACACAAGACTAGGCTGGAGAGATGGGACACAGTCCTGGGGACATGGGACACAGTCCCAGGGACAAGCGACACAGGGTTGGGGACACTGGACAGAGCTGGGGATACAGGACACGAGGCTGGGGATACAGGACACAGGGCTGGAAACACGGGACAGAAGGCTGGGGCATGGGACGCAGGTCTGGGGACGTAGGACACAGTCCCAGCGAGCTGAGACACGGGACAGACACACAGGACATAGGGCTGGGGACATGGGACACAGTCATGGGGACATGGGACACAGGGCTGGAGACACAGGACAGAAGGCTGGGGACACAGGACACAGTCCCAGGGACACGGGACACAGGCTAGGGACACAGGACACAGGGCTGGGGACATGGGCCACAGTCCCAGGGACATGGGACACAGGCTAGGGACATAGGGCCGGGGGCATGGGACACAGTCCCAGGGACACGGGACACAGCGTTGGGGACACTGGATGCAGAGTTGGGGATACAGGACACAGGGCTGGGGACACAGGACACAGGACTGGAGACACGGGACAGAAGGCTGAGGACACAGGACATAGGCTGGGGACAAGGGACACAAGTTTGGGGACACAGGACACAGTCCTAGGGACATGGGACACAGGCTGGGGACACACGACTAGGCTGGGAAGATGGGACACAATCCTGGGGACATGGGACACAAGGCTGGGGATGTGGGAGACGGGGTAGGGCACAGGGTTGGGGGTACAGAGCACAGGGCTGGGGACATGGGACGTAGGGTTGGGGAAATGGCATGCAGGGCTGGGGACATGGGACACAAGGCTGTGGATGTGGGACACAATGCTGGGGATAGGGGAGATGGGGTAGGGCACAGGGTTGGGGGTACAGGACACAGGGCTGGGGACATGGAACACAGGGCTGGAGACATGGGACACAAGGCTGGGGACAAAGGACACAGTCCCAGTGACATGGGACACAGGCTAGGGACAAAGGACATAGGGCTGTGGAGATGGGACACAATCCCAGGGACATGGGACACAGGGTTGGGGACACTGGAAGCAGAGTTGGGGATACAGGACACAGGGCTGGGGACAGGACACAGGAACTGAGGCTGGGGACACAGGACTAGGCTGGGTAGATGGGACGCGGTCCTGGGGACATGAGACCCTGTGCTGGGCCCCACACCCTGCTCACTTGATTTTATCTCTCGTTTTTGGCTTGGCCCCAGCCCTGCCACGTCCCCACGGACAGGCCTGCGTCCCCGCAGGGCTGCGCTCGGCTCCGGAGCAGCGTGACTGAGACCCCTGGGGTGAAAAGCATTTGACCAGCAGCCACGTCCAGAGCAGATGCTGCCCGCACACGGTACCTGGGGACAGGAGGTGACGCCGAGGACATCCTGCCCGTGGCAGAGGGCTCGTACCCAGCGGGTGTTTAAGGTCATCGCTTGCCTTTCCGCGGCTCAGTGGCCAAACCAGATCTGCCCGCGTGTCCTGCTGGCTGCCTGGACGGACTCAGCCCTGCCACTGACTTCAGGCAGAGGGTTTCCAGCCTCCCCATGGTGGTGATTTACAGAGCAGAACCTCTCATGCTGGGGGGTAGATGGAAATGAGCAGTGCCAGCTGGATTTGGGGAAGCGGGAGGTGTCTGCCTGCGAGGGCAGGTGGCCCCAAGAGGGAATCTAAAGCACGGGGACTGCTCTAGGTACCCAAATCTGCTGGAGCCTCTTGCTTTTGGGGTAAATTCCCAGACTGCCTTCTTTCACAGAATCACAGAATGTTCGGGGTTGGAAGGGACCTCTGTGGGTCATCTAGTCCAACCCTGCTGCCGAAGCAGGGTCACAGGCTGCACAGGGCCTTGTCCAGGCGGGTCTTGAATATCTCCAGAGAAGGAGACTCCACAGCCTCCCTGGGCAGCCTGTTCCAGTGCTCCGTCGCCCTCAGAGGGAAGAAGTTCTTCCTCATGTTCAGCTGGAACTTCCTATGCTTCAGTTTGTGCCCATTGCCCCTTGTCCTGTCACTGGGCACCACTGAAAAGAGTCTGCAAGGGGAGAAGTTGGGGAGATGTGCTTCATCTCCCATTGTTTTCCCCCCTCCATGGGCATCTCCACAAAAAGCTTTGGCTGGGGCTGCTGTGGCAGGCTGGAGAGGCAGCGGTGGCCGGGACAGTGTTGACAACCCTTGTTTGGACCCGGCTTCAGGGAAGAGCTGCAGTTTCCCAGCAGCGCCAGACCCCTGTGTGGAATAGCAAAGGCAGAAAAAGGTGGGTTTTCATTTTTGGTATCCCTGCAGCTGAACTCGGGGAGAAAATCCCATCGGCTCTGGTGGGTACCACAACGCTCTTGTGCCTTGGCCTGCCCTACCCGGAACCCCAGGTCCCAAATCAAAAACCCCACAGACCGGCTGGTACTTGGGGCTCCTCTGCGGGCAGCGGCCGATCCTTTCCCCTCTCCCCCTCTTTTCTGCAGGAATTTCTGCTCCAGCATCAATTTCCTCCTGCGCTGAGGCAAAACATCGGGCTGTTGTACAAGGATGGACGGGGAAGTTGTAAACAACATCCCTGAGGAATCTCAGGGGCCAGCTGGGAAATGTGGACGTGTGCCCCCCTGCTCTTGGGAGGGGAGCCGAGCAGGAGGCAACCTTCAGGAGCTGAGGAGCAATGCTGACACCAGCCCTGGAGCCTTTCCCACGCGTGGGTGCGGGGCTGGGGCAGCCCCCTCTCCACGGAGCGCCGCCCTCCCCCGGCATGGGCCCGTCTCCCGCTGCCAGGAGGCCAGGGAAGGAGCGGGGAGGTGGCTGCAGGGCTGTCCCCGAGGGATGGACAACGACCATGGGAATGGCGCCCTGACCCAGGAAGGACCGCAGTCCCCCACTCGACAGAAGAGCAGGTGACGTTTTATTCCCAAAACAAAGCACGTACAACAGAGTTGGCGCGCAAGACCCGAAGCTGGTCCGAGACGCTCGGCGGAATATAAATAACGGACACACATAAACAAGACAAGCTTTTTTCAAAGATGGAGTGAGGGACGCAGAGACCCGGCGCTTCCCGGGGCCGCGTAGTGCTTCACAGGACCAGGAGCAACCCCCCTCCGGGCAGCGTCTCGGCCGCCACGGCGAGGAAGGGACAGGAGGGTGACAGCGTGTCACCCTCGTGTCACACCCACCCACCTGCGGCCGCTCGGTCTGCACGCGGCGGAGGCAATCGGCCCCGTAGATGACGGTGTTCTCGGGGATCACCTCGTAGGTGTTGATGTTGCAGCAGGCCCCGATGATGCAGCCGCTCGTCAGGATCACGTTCTTGCCGACAAACGCTGCCAGAGACAGAGAGGGGAACCCCTGTGAGAGCTGGGCCCATGGTGCGGTGCCTGCACCACCAAACATCGACGTCACGAGCTGCTCGACGCCAGGAGCCAGCCCAGCCCAGCTCCCACCGAGGCAGTGACGCACGTGGGTTCTGCGTGAACACCACAGCCTTGCGACCAGCTGCAGTCTGGGCTCCGCTACGGCAAGACACCACCATGGAATCCTCCGCTGTTCCCAGCGTCCACATGAGCAAGGTTGGAAGGAGCTCTGAGCAACCTGGTCTGGTGGAAGATGTTCCAGTCTAGTGGAAGGCGTCCCTGCTCATGGCAGGGGGGCTGGAACCAGATGATCTTTAAGGTCCCTTCCAACCCAAACCATTCTATGATTCTGTGAAAATCTTGCAAGGGCCACGATGACAAGCCGAGACTTACCTTTGGATTCGATGACGTTGTTATCTCCCACCTTCATCGCCTGGGAATCTGCGGGGGGGCCCGTGTTAAAGAAAACTGTCAGATGTTTTACTTAAAAGGCAAACCCCGTCACTGCTCTCCAACCAGCGCCCTGCACCCTTAGCAGCCCTGGGCTGGTTCAACCCCGACAGAGCCCACGCCTGCTCCCCCTGCACGCGTCCGTCCGTCCATCCGTCTCGCCGCACAGCAGGGATACAACACCCAACCTCAAACACATTGTTGGTGCCAATCACCATCGGCTTGGGCTCCAACTCTTCGTTTTCGGGAGTGATG